AACGCATTGTTTAGATATATACGCACTTCACTAAGACAATTTTCAACAGTGTGCAGTCTGAAAGCGAACACATTGTTTAGATATATACGCACTTAACCAAGACAATTTTCAACAGTGTACAGTCTGAAAGCTAACACATTGTTTAGATATATACGCACTTCATTAAGACATAAGACAATTTTCAACAGTGTGCAGTCTGAAAGCAAACGCATTGTTTAGATATATACGCACTTCACTAAGACAATTTTCAACAGTGTGCAGTCTGAAAGCGAACACATTGTTTAAATATATACGCACTTCACTAAGACATAAGACAATCTTCAACAGTGTGCAGTCTGAAAGCTAACACATTGTTTAGATATCCACGCACTTCACTAAGACATAAGACAATTTTCAACAGTGTGCAGTCTGAAAGCTAACACATTGTTTAGATATATACGCACTTAACCAAGACAATTTTCAACAGTGTACAGTCTGAAAGCTAACACATTGTTTAGATATTCACGCACTTCACTAAGACATAAGACACTTTTGAACAGTGTATAGTCTGAAAGCTAACACATTGTTTAGATATATACGCACTTAACCAAGACAATTTTCAACAGTGTACAGTCTGAAAGCTAACACATTGTTTAGATATTCACACACTTCACTAAGACATAAGACAATTTTCAACAGTGTACACTCTGAAAGCTAACACATTGTTTAGATATTCACGCACTTCACAAAGACATAAGACAATTTTCAACAGTGTACAGTCTGAAAGCGAACACATTGTTTAGATATCCAATGGACGACAAATAAAAACATTACCTTAATTTTTGAATGATTTATTAAAATCATCCTCAGGATTACCTGATATTCATTTTCACATGCGTATGTCAATACCATATCCTAATGATTTTAAAACATCGTATACAAATAACAGCATACACGATATTAGTTTTTTGTCAATAGGCGCCAGCTAAAATAAACTCATTAACAGTTGTATTATTTTGTTATATTATTTGACGGTTTCATCGCAACTTAGCGAAAACAATTGTGAAAGTTATGTATAACTATTATAAGTAGGTACCAACGTATTATTAGCTTTACAGTTAAGAAACTGTGCATATATACACTACGCAAATGACATATATCTATGTATAAAATTTACTGCAAAAGTTGGAACTTCTTACATATTGGAGTCAGTGGACATTGCAGTAAATCCTCCAATGGAGCCATTGATCTCTGATGTGCAGTTGTAGTCTGGCGGATCACAAGAGCCTTGCGGATTCATGCCAGATATTCACTGAGACAATCCCCCTACATGAACTTCCGTAGACTTCTAACACACACACTAGTAGTTTCTAACAACATTACAGTAGTAACCAACTCGGATTTATTTAATAAACTACACATGGTGGCTACTGATCGATAATGGTAATATTGATGGATTTGTTACGGACCCCAGATTGGCTCATTCCCTGGCTAACCTAGTCTTGCGCTATGAGAAGCAATGATTGGAGGAGATACGAGAATGAAAATTTGTAATTTTTAATGAGTCAGTTTTTGTTTAGTGTCTCAACAGTGGACATGATAATGGAAAATTCACCGTAGAACGTTAAGAAAATCATCTTGTTTTCACGTAACAACAAGGGAATATTGGATTTTGGAGTCCTTCTTAAAAACTTGGACGGTATTTTAATTTATTTAGCGTTATTTCGAATAATTATATAGGTAATCTTGTGAAAATATTAATCCACTGTGCTTATAAAATACGAACGCTCACGGATATTTTCATTAAGAAGTGGATAATATAACATTATGTAAAAAAAAAAGCAAGATCACACACGCGTACTTAAAAGGAGGTCTGGTTTCAAAACAACAGATCATAAATACGCTAAAATTATCGACGTCAGTGGTATTGCCATTTCCTGTGAAATATTTGTTTATCAGGAAAATGGTTACGTAACGTTCTTCTAAACTAGGCCTGAATGGAGATTGATTTTTTTTAATTTAAAGATAAGAGTTCTGCACAAAAAAATGCATCATGTATATTTATGTATTTATTTGTTCCAATTGTGATGCATAGGATCTACCACCAGATGTCTTTTAACTGGAGCACGAGAACATACAATTCTACGGAGTCGAGTAAAAAAAAACACTTCGTGCGAGAATGTAATGTAGAAATAAGGAATGTTTTTTATTTCATGATTGTGACATAAGATGTAATGATGAAAGAAGTCTGTACATGAAAGAGATTTTATTAATTAAGTTGTTAGAACCACAAATTAATGAAGTAGTTTCGTCAATGAAATTGTTTTTAAAAAAGCTTCTAATTATACCTTCTAACCGTTGTATATCTCAAGTAGACAGAGAATGAGATGGGTATTATTATATTCCATACAAAGATATACCAATCAAACATATCTCAAGCAGCTGGAGAATGAGATTGGTATTATTATATTCCATACAAAGATATACCAATCAAACATATCTCAAGCAGTTTGAGAATGAAATAGGCATTATTATATTCCATACAAAGATATACCAATCAAACATATCTCAAGCAGACTGAGAATGAAATAGGCATTATTATATTCCATACAAAGATATACCAATCAAACATATCTCAAGCAGACTGAGAATGAAATAAGCATTATTCTATTCCATACAAAGATATACCAATCAAACATGTCTCAAGCAGACGGAGAATGAGATGGGCATTATTCTATTCCATACAAAGATATACCAATCAAACATGTCTCAAGCAGACGGAGAATGAGATGGGCATTATTCTATTCCATACAAAGATATACCAATCAAACATATCTCAAGCAGACGAAGAATGAGATGGGTATTATTATATTTTATACACAGATATACCAATCAAACATATCTCAAGTAGCTGGAGAATGAAATAGGCATTATTATATTCCATACAAAGATATACCAATCAAACATATCTCAAGCAGACGGAGAATGAAATAGACATTATTATATTCCATACAAAGATATACCAATCAAACATATCTCAAGCAGACGAAGAATGAAATGAGCATTATTCTATTTCCATACAAAGATATACCAATCAAACATATCTCAAGTAGACGGAGAATGAAATAGGCATTATTCTATTCCGCACAAAGATACACCAATCAAACATATCTCAAGCAGTTGGAGATGAGATAGGCATTATTCTATTCCATACAAAGATATACTGCTGACCCACAGAAGACTCTTGAACTTGGTCGGATTTTTTATTTGCTTTTTATAGCAAATCCACATCAGGCTATCTGCTGTGTCCACCGAGGGGAATCGAACCCCGCATTAAAACGGCGTATATCCGTAGACTTACGCTGTCCGACCGGGGATAACTTGGTTATACTCGTTGATGTCGAATTAAATATGGCGGATTAAATTCGTAAATAATAGATCAAGATACTTAGTAGATCTAGAAAGATGTTAAGTAAGTGTATAATATTTTAATTTGTGATTTGTTTCTTATTAAGCTACACAAAGGGCTATCTGTGCTCTGCCCACCATGGGTATCGAAGCCCGGTTTCTAGAGGGGCTGTTGTTAAGTACAAAACTACACAATGAGCTATCTGTGCTCTGCCCACCATGGGTATCGAAACCCGGTTTCTAGAGGGGCTGTTGTTAAGCAAGAAAGTCCGTTCCTTTGATTTTATAAGCAAACATAACTATACTTCCTTTCAACATTGAAATTATAGTAATGATTCTAATATTTTCAAAGAATTAGCGACAAGGAACTGTTGATTAATATTATTCTTACTAAGAAATTACTCTGTCTGTCTGCCCCCCCCCCCCGAGCTTAACTGTATATGTAACCTCATCAAGTGCTCTAGCTGAGTCTCTGATTACTGTAACATTCCAAGAAAACTTTAAGGATTGTAAATCACATCCAAGAAAAGTAAGTGTTCTTACCGAGCATTTGTTTATTTCACGAATTTCGCGCAAAGCTAAATGAGGGCTTTAGCCGTCTCTAATTTTGAAGTGACAGACTAGAGAGAAGACAACTAGCCAATAGAACCCATCGCCAACTCTTGGGTTACTATTATTAAAGTGAATAATGGGATTTTGCTGTCATTCTTATAACGTATTCACAGCTCCACAGTGCGAAGCCCAATTCTGCATAAACGGGACGTGAACAATGGACCCTCGGATATACAGTCCACGAAACTTAGAAGGATAAGAGCAGGCCCTCTGAGAGGTTAAGAGAGGCCCGGGCCACTTCGATCTTTTGAGGCCAATGGCTATAATAAAAAAAATGATGACAGATGAAACAAAAGAAGACAATCATTAGCCCAAAAGAAAAGTGAAACATAATTTGAATATTTAATTTGTATATATATAATTTGCAGCTCTAAGCTGAGAGTGTGTGTCACACTTTGGTCTGATCGGAAGGCATATAAAAAGAAGTCGCGGAACTTAAAAAATGCAAAAAAAACAGAAACAAGTATCTAAATTTGAGGACCCTTTTGAGCTTCATGCCCAGGCCAAATGGCCCTCCTGCCCCTAATTGGTCCTAGATAAGAGGTTTGGAGAAGTAAGCTAAAGTAGCAACTTTGACCAGTGCATTTTCAACAGCTAACTCTATCCCATTTTTATAGCATTTATAAATTCAAAGAAAAATAATTACAATCTATTTTCATCTTAATGTCTGTCTGTAGCTGCGAAGCGTCATTGTTCACATGGAATGTATTTTCTTTGTCATAATTTATCAGAAATATTTATGTATCAACTTATTTTAAATTAGCAGCTTAAATAAGCTTTGCCACACTGTTTATATTAAATACTCGATTTAAAAATATAAACTAAAACATACGTTACGTAATTTGAGAAACACTGAATAAAAATCTCTGACCAGTTTACACACAATCTGTTGAATTTACGATATCTGTGGTTTCACAACTCCAAGAAATAACACCAGCGCCATCTCTGGGTCTGCGACTTATACTTAAAGTAATGCGTGTTGGAAAAAGGACGAAAACTCCTTACATCAGCCAGACGACAGCATATAGCCTACAGGTTGAACTTAATAATATGTGCGACGGACTAGCTAACGGGAAGCTGTCAGAAGAGCTCCTTTTAAAGGATGAACTCGGGTGTCATAAAGACTCAACCATTATCGCTAAGCGTTTCCTCAGAGTTCCTTCTGATGAAGAAATCAGGAAAGAACGAACAGACGTAAACTGCCAAGTTGTTGAACTCTCCAGAGCTTATCGTAGTATACTGACTGGGATCGGAGAAGACCCCGAACGGCAAGGTCTGGCGAAAACTCCCGAAAGAGCAGCTAAAGCCTTAATGTTCTTTACTCATGGTTATGGCCAGAAAATAGGAGGTTAGTCGGATAAAATACATCTTACGCTAAGAATGAAAATAATTATTACATCTGCTTGTTTTATATATACACAGTAAGTGTTCTAAAAACTTTACCAAATAGATGTACCTTCGTAGAAACCCCGAAAATGTTCTGTTTCAAGAGTAAATAACACCAAAATTAAGAGTATCAAATATTTTTATTTCTTGCTTTTGAAGTTCATACTTTCACCGCGGTTATCGAAATCCGATATTTAGCATTATATTTCCCCGCTAAGCCACAGGAAGGAAAAACTATCAGAGAGTTTAAGATATTTTATTCGTATTTCAACAAAATAGGTTTATTTATTAAAGAATCTTGTGCGTGTGTGTGCCTGTTTATCATATGTACATGTATCACTTGTGCAGTTGTAAAGTAAACAAAGAAGCGAGACATTTATGTTATAATTAGTATTTTGTAGCAGTCTGTCAGTCAGTCATGTAGACACTAAAATTACGTCACATAAGGGACGCTTAACGTTGCAATTTGTATTGTTGTGACGTCAGTAAAACGTGCACATGCCATGAACCACGAGAAGAATTATACATCTGTAGGTTACAACACAGCAAGATGCACAGATAGCTCATTGTGTAGCTTTATGTTAACAACAAACAAACTGATAGCTTGACGTATTTCCAAGCATTTCTTAAAAGTTTTGTAATACTTAGATATATTAAACCGTTATGTTACATGAAAAGTTAATTTAGTTCATACCACATGTGGTGTATATGTGTGACAACTGTACTTCCATAGATATAATCGTCTTGTTCACTTTTAGTCCTTCAACAATATATAAGTGTATCTTTTATTCAACAACCATAAAATTCAAATGCTTTAAGCCTTTTTCTTTGTTATGATTTTTCTCTGGACTGTAATTTTCCAGGATTCCCAATCTAAGCCTGACGGAATAGCTTAATTTAGCGGGAGTTTCAAAACTAACCGAATTAAAAACAAGAGGGAATCCTCACTAGCCGCGGCTGTAATTAGATCTCAAGTCGGTCAAGAGTTGGAGCTATGAACTAAAAAGTTGTACTTGCCATTCTATTCCGCAGCAAAAAAAACAACAAAAAAAACATATATTTCAGTTAATGAAAACAAAGTTGTTTTGTCAGTTACGTAAGGAAAGGACGTCGATCGACTACTCATGTAGTGGATGCATACCTAAGTGGAATATAAATGAGAAAAGCTACATTGTTTATCAAAGTAATAGATGCATTACATATCTATGTTGTCACTTTCTTTTCTTTTCTTCATCTTAAAAGATAAGCGGTACAGTGATTCTGTTTATTGGGCTGGTCGTGTGACCCAGTGGTTAACATGCCGAACTGTGAATGCAAGAGCTTATGGTTCCTCTATTATAAAAGGTGCGTTATAATAGTGACGGTAAAATCCCATTATTCTGTCAGAGTAGCCCAAGAGTTTGCGGTTGGTGTTATTCACTAGATGCCCTTCCTCTGGTCTGTCAGTTCAATATGAATAAAGACTAATGCTGATAGCCCTTGTGTGAATATCTGAGTCAACCAATCAGATTATCAGATAGTCCCTAAGACCAGTGTTTTATGTGGACATTGGTATAAAATGTCCATAATGTAAATGAGTAAACAATGCTGTATATATTTAGCTTAAATTAAAATCCAGACTTTTCTGTAACTGTGACGCAAAGACTCCAATACTAGTTTCAGCACTAGAAGTACGTGCCCCCACCAATTTTGAACTTTAAATGGGGAATAAAGACTGGTGTATAACTATCATGGAAATCACTTTTTTCAGTTTTGAATTCAATGGCCACAGTTAACATAGTAAATAAGACATACCCCAAACGTCGGTGGTACCTCCTCCCTCCCCAGAAAAAAAAAAAAATATTCCGCCGCCAATAATACACTCTTTGAAATACTAACGACACGATAATGTGCCGAAAGCAGATGCCGAGTCTTTGGGTCACAATTCCAAACAAAAAGAGTAGATTTTTGTTCAAATCTCTGTAGTCAGCGTCGTTATTTAACAATCTATTTCCTTGAGGTTGTCAGAAGTTAAATATCTCATTAAATATTTTAAGTCTTAAAACTACAACACACACTATTTCACAGCAAGTGCACGTAAACACGGGAAAAACAATTTCGGAGATTTGTATTTAAAAAAATTATATTATTGTAGTAAAAAATTGTTTGTTTGTTGTTTTGAATTTCGCGCAAAGCTACACAAGGGCTATCTGCGCTAGCCGTCTCTAATTTAGCAGTGTAAGACTAGAGGGAAGGCAGCTAGTCATCACCACCCACCGCCAACTCTAAAATATAAAGTGCAAGAAATTAATACGACATAATTATGAATAAGAATTAATTGAGACACGGTTATTATAGTTTATAACTCGTCGAAACAAAATTGTTCATATCGAAATGGTGTATTTAAGTGTT